CAGTTTCCCACGACTGCCAAGGATTTTGTTGTTGTTGATCCTCATTCTTTCCACATCTCTTTATTGGAATTCTTCTGTTTCTCCTCCCTCATTCATTCATTCATTCATTTATTCATTTATTTATTGAGATATCCTGGACTCAGGATATTTATCTTGTTTTATTGGCTTTATAATCCAGTACTGCCATTAGCTACTTTTGCACTCAAACTTAAGACATTTTTCAAAACACCAGTGCCTGAGACCCTCTCCAAATCATCTGAACCAGAATCCATGAGCAGGGCGTGAAGGCAGTGGTGTTTCCTTAAAGCTTTAAACGTTTGCTTCCCCACCTGCTTCCTCTGAAAGAAAAAAACCTTCTCCTTCGCATTGTTCTGCAGAACTTTTTCCCGCACTGGCTGTCAGAGAGCTGGTGGCAGGCTGCACCCTTGGGGCACAGGCTCTGTGCCATCTCCACCCCTGCCTCCCCGTGCACACTGCCTCCCTTCCAGCTCACCTGGCCTGCAATAGAGACCGGGACACCAGCATCCCTCCCGTAGCAGCTCAGCTGGTGTGTATTGGTGTGTGTGTGTGTGTGTGTGTGTCCCGGTCCGATGGCAGAAGCAGCAGCTCTGGCAGCCTTAGAAATTCAGGGCTGAGAAAAGCCCCGAGGAATAGACTGCCTTCATCTAGGAAGGGCTTTCTAAATGGCTTGGGGCTGATGGCTGACGGCTGTTCCTGCCATCCCGGGCTCTGCCTGCCCCAAGTCCCACAGAGTGTGTCTCTGCTGGCTGGACGGGGTCTTAAAGCGTGGAAGCAACTCTCACTCCCACAATGATTTGAACACTTGGAATGATTTGGACACCTCTGGAATCATTTTCACCGAGTGTGTAGACTTAATTCTCTCTTTAGGTGATCAACGTGGAGCCAGATAAGTTTTTACTTAAAGAGGTGGTCTTCCCGAATGAGGAAATTGATCCAATGGTGCCCTTTAGCTCGTCTCCAATTACCTCATTCCTCGATGCCAAATCAATCTCGTGATATTTTTAGAAACCTAATGGTTTCTGTAGTCAGAATGATGCCAATAATATGTCTGAAACTTAGATGAATCTGATTTAAAATCTGATTCGCGATGGAATAAAAGTTTAACCCCGAGCATACCATACCATGGCAGTCTGGATGTGGCATGGTTCTCCAACTTATGTCCTGTGAATCTGGGGAGATGTGTCTCACATGTTTCTGTTTCTTTTTGTTATTTGTTTTCTTCATAGTTTCAACCTGAATTTTCCCTAGCATGTGGGTTTTTTTTTTCTTATTGGAAACAGCTTCATTTAAAATTTTAAGAGGATTCCAACTTCTAGTGCAAGTAAATAGTGAAATCTGCAATAGCTAGGCCGGAAAGGACCCAATTTTTCACTGCAGCTCAAAGAGATACTTCCGAGACAGGTGTGTTAGAGATGCAAAGTGTTAACTCAGCACAGCATCCAAGCCAGGATGAGGAGTGTTTAGATGCCACATGACAAAAATAAATCTCTCTTCCTGGAAGAACTTTAACCTGAGAGGAGAAACAGCTCAAAGGTTGATCGTTGTCAGAGCCACAAACTTGACACCCCTCTTGATAAAAGACTTCCAGCCTTGACCCCAGGAAAGTTGCCACTCTAAAAGCCATTTGTGTATTGATCGCCTCTGAAGAAAACGAATAGGTGTCTGGGGTGAGCATCTCTGGGAAACCACGTTCCTGTACTTAGAGGAGAGTCGGCATGAACAGAGGGGACCCTGGGGCATCAGGCCTTGAAGGGTAACCCGAAAGATGCCGGAGCCCGGACCTTTGTCTTTTTTTTAGTCTCTGCAACAAGGCCAGCTTGGCGAGTGTGGTTTGAAGGAGGAAAGCTTGACTACTGGGAAACCTGCTTAATCTCCCCATCCCCTCTTCTGAAGACAGAAGGGCTGGAGAGGACTGGCCTATTCCAGAGTCAGCCCGAGACCAGGGCTTTTTGGTGGTTAAGTATTTTGGCAGCCCTACTCCAAGGGCACCCACCGCCCCCACATGTTAGTCCTATGCACACAGGATTTGAAATGAGCCAGCATTTCCTGTTTGAGGCTTAGGCTGAGGGACAGAGGCAGAAGAATGCTGGGGCTGTCCGGCTACCCAGCAGGGACAGGGGACTTGGGATTTCTGAGCCCTGAGACTCTAGACTTTGAGTCAGGCCGTCGGGAGCAACAAGGCAAGAGTGGTGGCCCCTTGCTGGCTGTCTTCCTTTTTCTCCCATGGAATCCTGCTAGGGTCATCACCGTCCATCCTTGGAGGAGAAGTGTCTTTAGAGGTTTGCTGTGTAACGGCTAACTCCGTATACATTTTTTAAGCAACAGAAATTCAGAGATTATGTATTGAGCACCTACTGGGCACTGTTCTAGGAATAATACAAAACCCTGCCCTCCGGAACAGACAGCAAGCAATTCAACAGCAACAATCATTTCAGAGTGTAGCTAATGCCACACAGGAAATGCATCCAGGCGAAGGAAGCAGCTGTCAGGTGAGACCTCTCTGAGGAAGACGCATGTGAGTTGACACCCAGCGGTGAGGGGTGAGCTCAGAGTGAGTGTTCCCGAGAGAAAGCCTCCTCTAAGGCCCCAAGGTAGGGATAGACTTGCAGGGGTTGACGACAGAAAGGCCAGTATGGTGGGAGCAGAGTGGACAAAGTTGGTGGTGAGGAGAAGACCCTAAGAGGGGCCCGATCACTCAGCATCCTGTAGGCCATGCTCTCGGCATAACCGGAAGCCTCTGAAGGGTCTGGGAGGTTGGACTGGGGAATGAGAATGCTGCGTTTTGTTTTGTTAATATCTCTAAAGCTGTTTGTGGTGAACAGTCTGTAAAAAGCGCGAAAACAGTAGTAAAGGAGTGACTTAGTAACGCGTAGCGTCTAAAGTCCTGGAAGCCCAGATGTCCCACGGCACATTTTCAGGCCCTGTGTTTGATGATCATGCTGGTCACTGCCTTTATTTCACAACGTTACAACCTCTCCACTTGCTTATTGTTTAATCATCAGAAAAGCCATTTGCTGGAATTCATTTACCTAGAAAATGTGATTTGTGCTTATCAGCTTACTAGAGATAACGTCGTGCCTCTATCGGTCACAGAAAATTTTATTTTTGCTTTCATCAGCTATGTCGTTTTCCTCCTACAGGGATCCCAACCACCCTTCAGTACCTTATCATTATTATGAGCCTTTTGGACCTGACGAATGTACAATGTACCTCTCCCACGAGCGGGGACGCAAGGGCAGTCATCACCGCTTCATCACAGAGAAACGCGTCTTTAAGAACTGGGCACGGACATTCAATATTCACTTTTTTCAACCAGACTGGAAGCCAGAATCGCTTGCTATGAATCATTCTGAGAATAAACCTGTGTTCTGAGGAATGAGCATTCCAGACTGTGATTCCAGGTACCCACTGCCTCAGACGCCGGGACCCTGAACTTTCTGAGCCACCAGGCAGGAAAGGGTAGCAGAACTGGTGGCAGAAAACAGCTTGCTCCTCGAGGAGTACAGATGCCTACCAGGCGTGACTACAACGCCACGCGGATAGTTTGCAAGAAAAAACTTCCAGAATTAATACATCCCGGTGTGTGTTGTCCCTTTCAAAGGCGTTACCTTAGGACCCGAACACTCCACTCAGTTAAACCGCCATGACTAAAAACATGTTGGATCTCATGTTTAGGACTGCCTTTGAAATCGAAACATGAGCAATTCAACAATATTAGTTGCATTCCTTTCTAGCGATACTGTGTCAAAAGACATTTTTCTATCAAATCGTTTCCTTTCCTGATCTGTAACCGTGGTCATCTGTTAGACTCCGTATGTGTGATTTGTTAAAAGCAACCTGAAAGTACGGACATGACTTCTGAAGAGCACATCTCCACTGACTTTCATAAAGCAAATGTCCAATATTTATTTATAGAGAGATTTTTAGTGCACTCTAGGCCAGTATTTTTATAGATTATGATCATGTGGCAATTTATCCTTCCTAACTCCTTAATCCTGAATGATGGTTGGAAATGGCCTAGAATTGGGTTAATGAGTTACTGTGTTCACAATGCTCACTGTTAGCATGCAGTTGGAAATCTTGTGTTGCGTTTTTTGAACTCCTAGTCTTCAGGAAAACTGTTCTTTCATAGAAAGAACAGCTATGACATTTTCTTGTGTGCAGAAAAGCTCCAAAAGGACAAAATTGAAAACCAAAACCTGTTATTAAAACAAAAAGATGCTTACAAGAAGAACTTACAGATAGCTTTCTTTAGTAACTATTTATACAGATTAACTTCTCCTGGCCCTGGTTTTCCTTTCTGCAGAAGGATGGCACTGTACCAGATGACCTCTTAGGTTTCATTCAGTTCTAAAGTTTTAAGAACCTCTTGTGGACCCATTTGAAGACTTTGCACTTAGAATGATGGTGTTCCAACTGTAACAGGAACCTTACTTGGGGGAGCCTTTTCTAGTCCCATACTACTTATCTTACTTTTACTAAAAAAAAAACAACTTCCTCTTGGGTCCCCAGGGGCTAAAATCTACCCTCCCTCCCAAACTCCCTGCTTCTCTGGAAGCACTACACACACACGCACACACGCACACACACGCACATACACACAGACATACTTCCTGGGGGTTCCTTGGTTGCAAGAGCAAGGAACCGCCCTCTTGTGAGAAGAGTCTACGAGAAGATTCCCTGTCACACAACTCATCTGATTATCCTGGGACTCGTGTGGACTCACTCACTACAGATTTTCTTAGATTCTATTCGCTACCATCCCACCCCATCCGAAGGAGTATGAAGGACTGATTTTATTCAGAGTCAAGATTAATTCGTATTATAGATTTTTATTTTAACAAGTAATGTTGTTCAAAAATATAGTCTTTTAAAAAACATGCTACTGTTTTCTCTACACGTGGCTTTTAGGAGGCATTCATTTCTTTAATGCCAGCTTTGAAAGCACCAGCGAATATTATGTCTGAAGACTGACATTGTTTTACAGCCATGACCAGGTTTGTGATTAAAGGAGGATTTCTCACATTACCACTTCTTTTCCCTTTTCTTAATTAATAATAAGATTCCCTTCCCTTACACTAACTGGTACTCTTCATTACATGGAGTATTGTTGTTGAAATGCAAACATAATTCAGGTGTTCACACAGCAAAAACAAGGCAGGTAGTATTGTGGTGTGGCTCGAGTTGTTAAAAGTAGATTGAAATGGCTGTCTGAAACATACTGGGAAGTGTTATTTACATCTTCTCATAGTTTTTAAAGGGATTGTGAATTTTATTCCAACACAGTGTCTTCCACAGCATGGACTATGAACACATCATGTTTTATGAACATGTGAAGAAGTGTCTGAATTTTATACAATCTATTTATAGACTACCTTTACAACCACTTGAAGAGATTATGTTGCTCAGATGTGAGTGGCTCCTTTGACAGTCTCTATATTTATGGAAATTTGGAAAGACAGACATAATTGGGACATGCAAGGATGTACTATATTACCTAATCTAATAATATCTCACATGTCTGTATATCATCAGCTTTTAGATTTTTTTTTAAAAGACCATCATATAGCTCCATATTATTTTTGTTTGTTTTGGTAACTTCTCCCTCTCAAATCCTCAAAAGAGCTAAAGGCAACCAAATTCTGAAAGTCTTCACTGAAAAATGTTTAAAATCCATATGTACCTAGAATATGTGAATTCTTTTTTTAATGGTATAAATAAGTATAAAAAATTACCACTTGGGTAGTGATTTTATTGCAGTATTTTAAACAATGCCTAGAATTCTGATAGATGGTGCTGATAGACCTGGTTGTGGGAAATGGAATTCTTATCTTGCCACCATCATTTCATGACTGTCAGTCTTCACACCATTTACCACCCTTAAACATAAACTCCGATGTAAAAGATGGCTGCAAAACCGCGTTTATAGACCTCACTGATTTCAACGTCTGATAGTGTCTGAAACCTAAGTCATACTCGTTATGCTACGTACCTTTTTCTTCTCTCCCCGCTGTGTCATCAGCCTCCTCCTAGCTTTTAAGACCACGGTAATGCAATACCACAGCTGGCCGATCCATGGCTTCTGTTATTTCAACGCAAGATCATTTGGCAGAGGCCATTACTATAGATAGCCATTATGGGCAAAGATACAGGAATTCACAAACAAAATCAATCACTTCAAATGGCCCATAAAAAGAGGAATTTCACATTTAATATTCTACAGTAAATATTCACCCAAGAAAGCGTACATTAAAAGAACATTAGGAGGTAAATATTCAGTGTGCTGCATGGGGGACTTAGCTGTGTGATTTCCATTACCCGTTAATGGGTGTTTGGTAGCTAAGTCCTTGTGCCGCTAACCCTGGCAGGTCCTCCTAAGGGCTACACGTAAAACCGCAGCAATTCAGGAACTTGTAAGGTCACACAGTTTCAGAGTTAGAGCTTCAAAAAATAAACGATGCACAGTACTATGCCTAAAAGAGAAATGTGTGTGTGGACTCTTGGAATCCCTCGGTTGCTACCAGGTTTGTGTATCAGATTCCAAAGAATCCCACTCAACACATATGACCTTTGTTTCTGAGCTTCTCTCCGCTGCTGATCTATTACGTTAGAATAGAGGGAGATCATCTCATTTCAAAATAAAATCTCCCCTCAAACATTTACATTGTTGATTTAGAAGCTAAATGACTGCTAGGTAAAAGTTGAAATGTTGTTAGGAATAGGACAGTGCTATTTAAATGAATATGTACCTGTTTAGTACCTGCCCAAATGTTCACCCTTGTGTCAGAGTGACCTCATTTCAGAAACAGACCTTAGATTCCACCAGAGACCTATGCTGAGAGAAGGGGCCATGTTCCTGTTCTCTTGCTCTGCAGTGTCAGGAGGTGACGTTAACACACTTTGTGTTTCATGCCTGACCCAGTCATGTCTTCCTTTCTCATTGCCTCCTCTTGAACTTCATTGTGTCTCTTGACTGTCATTTTCTCCTGACTGTCCTCTTGTGTCTACAGTGCTGCTTTTCAACCACCAGCCTTGGGAGTGGCTAAGGTCTTCCTTGTAGGTTGGTTAACTGGAGCCCTGTCTGCGGAACAGATTTGGGATGGGTCCTGCCAGAGCAATGGCCAGGGTAGGTGGGAGGATACGTCTGACTACAGGACAAGGTGTTTCAGAGACCATCCTAGTCTGCCTGAGTCTGAGGGAGGAGGGAAGGAAGGGAACTCTAAGACACAGACCTTCAGTTCTAAAATTAGAGCGGTCCCAGGCACTGGGACAGTGGGTCACCCTACCACAAGGCCACTTGAAAGATCAAAATAATAATAAGCCCTGGGGGCGGGGGTGTAAGCCAGTAGCCTAGGTTTTAGCACATGCCAGAAGGTACTTTGAAAAGGCAAGAGGTGAGCGAGTGTCTTCAGACTTAAAAATGAACAAGAGAAACCCCCATATTCAAGCCCACTCACTCCTGCCTACTCAGGGTATTGAAATGCAGATGCAAAAAAAAAAAAAAAAGGCGGAAACACTGTTCCTTTCTACTCGGTGCCCTGATATTCTGTGCTACCTTGGATTGTCTTTTGTCTTTTTATGTATGCGTCCTGTTAGTCTAATTAGATTGTAAGCTCCTTGAGGGCAGAGACTGTTTCTCCTTTGTCTCTGTAGCCCCATACCTAGTATAGTGCCTTGCACACAATAGGCGCTCAATAAATGTCCGTTGTTGATGATGACTTTTTCATGTTGACCCAGCAGACTGGTAATTGGGCATAAATATATTCTACTATTTTAAAAGTACAAGAAATGCCACGGGTTACGATGTAGTTAAATTTTAAGTGGACTATTTATAGGGTTAACTCTTAAACCTAATAACGTTTTTAATCAGCGAGCTGGCCTAGATTTGGTAGGATAACGTTGCCGCGTTCATTAGGTTTGCTAATGCTGTCTGTACTGAGCGCACAGGTGAAGCAAAGTTCAGCAAGCTTTGTGTTTTCGCTGTTAGTGAACTGCTTTGAGCACAAATTAAATTTAATATTGACAAATGTTACACCATCTGCAGAAAGGCGGAAGAACAGCTTGGGCTCTGACTTCTGTGGTTCGACTACAAAAGGAAGGCTCAAACGAGGCAAGTTATAACCTGCCTTAAACTTGACGGCCTCCTAAAGCTGCTGGGACTCCAACTGGTGGTTACTGAGGGTCTATAAAAGTTAAGGGTGTGTTGCTCTTGGAAGCAAAATGAAGCAAACAAAACACATTTGTCTCCATCAAGCAGATCCAAGATGGGTTTCCTCTCTCCACCAGCATGTGAGGGAGACGGAGAACTCTTGGGAAGAGCTGTCCTCGGGCCGAGCATCCCTGCTCCCGAATCGCCATCTGGCCAGCACCTGGCGTCCGGTTACCTCCCGGCTCCAGGAGAGGTCAGCAGGTGGGCAGTAAAGGTGAGTTTGCTGCCAGTCGGTGCCTCTCCAAAGGGCCACAATCATTCCCTTCTTGAGCATGTGGGCATCTGGAGTCCCTCGCTTTCACGATCCTCTTCCACATATTTATTTAAATGATTAACCTTAATCTCTTTTTTGTGTGTTTTTTTGGGGAGGGTGTTTGTTGAGTTTTTTTGTTTTTTGGGGTTTTTTTTGAGTTGGAGTCTTACTCTGTTGCCCAGGCTGCAGTGCAGTGGCACACTCATGGTCACCCCAGCGTCGGCCTACTGGGCTCTGGTGAGCCTTCCACCTCAGCCTTCCAAGTAGCTGGAACTACAAGCACCTGCTACCATGCCTGGCTAATTTTTTATTTATTGTAGAGACAAGGTCTCGCCAAGTTGTCCAGGCTGGTCTTGAACCCGTGGGCTCAGGCAATTCATTCAACTCGTCCTCCCAAAGTGCTGGGATTACAGGCTGAGCCACCGAGCCCGGCCGTCTTGGATTTTCTATTCACCATTATCTTGCTTTCTAAATAGTTGTATTACCTACAGATCTATCTATAAATACTGTATCATTTATTTTTACATATTTATAAACATTGTAACATTATATATAGTCTTCTGAAACTTCCCTTTTTTCCCAAAATTTTCTTTGCATGTAACCCTATTTTTGCTGTTATATAATGTCATTGTGCAAATATACCATAATTTATTTTTATCCACTCTTCTGTCAGTGAACATTTGGGTCTTCTGCTTGTTACCAATATGCACAATGCTTTTATGAACTTTCTTAGAAAGTTCTTCTAGTACATGTGTGCAAGAATGTTTA